GAGTTCGAGACCAGCCTGGTCTACAGAGCTAATTCCAGGATAGGCTCCAAAACCACAGAGAAACCCTGTCTCGAAAAACCAAAAAATAAAATATAAAAGCCCGAACTACACTGTAAGACCCTGTCTCAAGGGGCTGGAGAGATGGCTCAGAGGTTGAGAGCACTGACTGCTCTTCCAGAGGTCCTGAGTTCAATTCCCAGCAATTCACAGCCATCTGTATAATGAGATCTGGTGCCCTCTTCTGGCCAGCAAGCATACAGACAGACAGAACACTTAAAAAAAAAAAAAAAAAGACCCTGTCTCAAAAGACCAACAAAAAAGAATAAACTCATGAGAACTGGGCATGTCTCAATGGTAGAGTGCTTTTCCTAGCATGTATAAGACCCTGGGTTCCATCCTTAGCCATACATGCACACATACAAATAAGTAAGCTTATAAATAATGGGGAGTGTGGGTGGGGAGGAGGTGTCATTCCAGCCAGATGGTGGTGGCACACACCTTTAATCCCAGGACTAGAGAAGCAGAGGCAAGTGTACCTCTGTAAGTTTGAGGCTACCCTGGTCCACAGAGCTAATTCCAGGACAGCCAGGGACACACAGAGAAACCCTAAAACTAAAAACCAAAAAAAAAAAAAAGTTCATTCCATTTTGGGTCTTTTTCTTCAGGCACAGATTTAATTTTTTATGGCTAATTGTTTTGAATTTGTATGGTGCTGGTGATTAAATCCAAACCCTCACCTGTGCTCAGCTCCTGGTTTCTTTGGAATTAAAGACAGAATGGAGAAGATTCAGAGGGCACCTGAGTCTTTTTTGATTGGTTGGTTGGTTTTGGTTTTTCTTTTTTATTTATTCTGTATACAGTGTTCTGCCTGCATGAACTCAGGTCCTCTGGAAGAGCAGCTAGTATTCTTAATCTCTGAGCCATCTCTCCAGTGCTCCAGTGCTGGTTTTGGTCTTTCTTTCTTTCTTTCTTTCTTTCTTTCTTTTCTTTTTTTTTTTTTTGGTTTTTCGAGACAGGGTTTTTCTATAGCTTTGGAGCCTGTCCTGGAACTATGGAACTAGCTCTTGTAGATCAGGCTGGACTCAAACTCACAGAGATCCGCCTGTCTTTGCCTCCTGAGTGCTGGGATTAAAGGTGTGTGCCACCACCTCCCGGCCTGGCTTTGGTTTTTCAAGACAGGGTTTTTCTGTACAGCCCTGGCTATTCTGGAATTTGATTTGTAGATCAGGGTAGCCTCAAATTTATAGATCCATTTGCCTCTGCTTTTTTCACAACTTTTGGGATTAAAAATGTGGGCAACTAACTACACCCTGCTTGTTTGTTTCTGAAGCTCCAGGACCATTTAATTAGAATTTGAGAAGAAGCCACGCAGCAGTGGCGCATGCCTTTAATCCCAGCATTTGAAAGGCAGAGACAGGTGGATCTCTGTGAGTTCGAGGCCAGCCTGGTCTACAGAGTGAGTGCCAGGACAGGCTCCAAAAGCTTCAAAGAAACCTATCTCAAAAAAGGGGGGGGGGGGCTGGAGAAATGGCTCAGTGGTTAAGAGCACTGCCTGCTCTTCCAAAGGTCCTGAGTTCAATTCCCAACAACCACATGTTGGCTCACAACCATCTCTAATGAAGTCTGGTGTCCTCTTCTGGCCTGCAGACATACACACAGACAGAATATTGTATACATAATAAATAAATAAATAAATATTTAAAAAAAGAAAATAAAAAGAATTTGAAAAGGAACACACACATAGCAAGCTGTAAAGTTTGACAGCTGCTAAGAAAAGATAGAGATTTACTTACGTCTGTAGACAGGGTCCCACTTTATTGCCCTGGCCGGCCTGGAATTTGCTATGTATCCCAGGTTTGCTTCGTATCATAGGACTCTTCCTGTTTCCGCCTCCTTATTGCTGTGACTATGGCCCTATTATGGACCTATGTTCTTCTATTCTTTTTCTTTTCTCTTTTGTTATTCTTTTGCAAATGGGAAAAGAAGAGCAAGACTCTCTTTGCTAAGCCTTCCTCTGGCATTGTTTAGAAACTTAAAGATTTGTCTATTACATCATCGAGACAGGGTCGATCCCTGTGCAAAGTCGATACTTTGTACTTGATGCCAGGTGCTGGAGGCACACGCCTTTCCTCTCAGCACTTGGAAGGCAGAGAGAGGTGGATCTCTGCGAGTCTACACAATGAGTTCTAGGACAGGCTTCAAAGCTACAGAGAAACCCTGTCTCAAGAGACAACAAAAGCTAACTGATAGTGACTGTATAGGTGGCACCACTTGTGTGTTGAGTGTTGATCTGCAGAAACTATCACCTCCATGGGTCTGCGCCTTTGCTCTTTCTGTGTCGGCGCTGATAATGCATGCAGCACCTAACACTCCATGAGCTGTCTCGCATTGCTTATGGCCATGACAAGCTAGCTGCTCCGCTGGGAGAATTGAAGCTAAAGAAACTGGGAGAAACTTCAGAGCTGAAGGCAGTGCGTGCTGGGTATTGGTGAGGTAGTGAAGGATGGCTTGGATGTTTATGAAGTTCTCAGGCCTTGCACGTCAAGAACTGGTCCCCTTCCCCAGAAGACATACACAAGGTAGTTTTGAGAATAACTTAGCACTGATAAAAGGAATCTTTAACTTTTTATGATAACCATAGATCGTATCTTTACTTTTCAGTTTTGTTATATAGTAATATTTCTTAAAATAAGGTCTTATATATAACCTAGGCTGGCTCACAGCTCACCATCCTCCTGCCTCTGCCTCTTGAGCATCATAGGTATACACACCTATGCCCAACTTGTTTTATTTACATACAACATGTGTGGAGGTTCATGCTTTCCACCTTTTTGAGGCAGGCCTTCTCTTGTTTGTTTCTGTTGCTGTGTTGAGTGCTCCAGGCTAGCTGGCCCTCTTCCAGGTGTCCCTGCTGGGGGGATGTTCAGGGTTACATATTCAGGTCACTGCATCCAAGGTTTGGTTTTTTTTTTTTTTTTTG